GTGAGACGTACCGTTATATGGATTCCCAATATGATTACTTGTAGCCGGTCAATGGAGAATCGGCGCCCCCGGTGCACCTACTGCTATATCTGTGGTGATATGGAAAACCAACAGGTTAAGTTTCTTTATTGGGCGGCACTGATAATCTAGATTGAATCGCAGCCCGCAGGGTGGCCTCCTGTGTGAGCGGCCTGATGATTCTAGATTTTGATGGAGAGCGACCGGGTTTACCTCCTGTTAGGTATGAAAAAGAAAAGAGAGAATGAAAAACAATGAGAGGCTGGTCAAGTGAGGATTAGAGCGGTCGGCCAGTATGGGGATCGGCTCCCTGGTGCACATGTGAGAGATGAGCCCATGTGGGAGGACGGCTCACGGGGTTCCGGTGACTCACTGACTAATCTCCACGTGAATTGTGATTAAATTAGGTGATATTGTTTGTGGGTCCTGATGTAAGATGTCATCTGATTGACTGATGTGTGTTCAATTACTCAGATACTAGGGTGCAATTTTGCTTGAAACTGTATGTGGTGTGTATTATTTATTAATTATGTTCAGCTGAGTTGCAAAAACTCACCCACCCTAAAACAAATCTCCGCGGTACTTGGAAGTTTGCCAAGTTCGACTTGAAGCTCTGGCACTCCTTCTTCCGCAGAGTTATAAATGTAAAATTTTGTATCCTGTTTATTTAAATTTGTAAATTATATTTTTATCTGACTATTATTGAACTCCGCAGTTATAGGGTTGTGTATTTAAATTGGTTTTTATTGTTAGCACTACGCTATAAATTAATTATTGTTTAATTAGTTGCAGGTGAATCAGTAAGCCCATATTGTGATTATGATTTATTATGAACAGGCCCTGGTTAAATTTTATGTATTATTGAGATTGGGTCAGATGTTTGAAAATTTTTATCAACTTGTATCTTAAGTCATATGGGCTTACTGTTTTGATGAAATTGGGACAGATAGTTAGATAGATTGGATAATTTAGGCTTACTACGGGCTAATAGATTGGATAATTTAGGCTTACTACGGGCCTCGGGGGCCTTAAGCTTACCTGGGCCCTAGTGCCGGTCCGGCCCACGGAAACGGGTCGTGACATATAGGGAAAAGATAAAAACAAATAAGTTTTTCTCTTTATCTCAAGAATTTGTTAAGCAAAACTTAATGGGCATTCCCATTAAGAATAAAATTGCAAGAGAAAGATATGGAAAAAAGAGTGTAAGTACTTTTTCTCAACTACTTGGACCTTCAACTACTCAATTATTAATACTTGCCTTTGCTTCAACTACTTCTGTTACAAATAGACCAACCAAATACCATGACGCCCTTACCAGTGCATCATCATCGACAATTAATTATCCTTATGTTAATAAGGATATAGAAATACCAATTACCTACATCGAAAAGGAATATACTAAATGTTCAAATTTTTTGGAAGTTAAGGATATAGAAATACCAATTACCTACATCGAAAAGGAATATACTAAATGTTCAAATTTTTTGGAAGTCGCTAAAAGGTATTTCCTTCTAATTTCCATTTTATTCCCGAGTAACTTTTAAAAAATAAAAAATTTTTATGAGTATATATTAGTTGATACAGATTCTATAATTCTGAAATATATTCATGATCCAGAAGATGTTAAAAAGGTTTTGTATTCAAAAGTTCAAATAAAAAAGGTTTTCTCTCTCTCTCTCTGATTGGAACCAGAACCTATATATAGAGAAAAAATTTAGTCAGAACTTTGTACCAAGTTCTTTCAACTATGAGGATTCTAAAAAAGCTTGGTATAATGCATTTTATTTAAGAAATCATAATCATTCGTGGTCCATAATGGTTCCACGATGTTCAATTACAGAATTTCCTTATTGGTTTCAAGAATTGTTCAAGTATTTGGATTTTCCATTAAAAAATTCCCTACAAAGATACTACAAAGCTTTGAGCTCTATGATAAACAATTAACCAATTTCTGTCAAGATAAGCTACTCTCGTTCGCAGCTACTTTTGGGATTCCATGGATTTTATCTTGGAATCATCAAATCAAACAAGTTCAACCACTATCCTTTCCTCTTATGCTGGTCAAAATTTTCAGCAATAAATGGTAGAAAGATCACAACTAGACCCAAGCATGTGTTCAATTCGTTCAAAGATATTTCAGTTCAAAGAGACATCTACCTTCGGCGAAAATCCAAAAAATCTAGATTTCTTTACAGATAAGAGTAAGTGGCGGGCTGCCCTTGCCACTACCAGTTCAATTGAAGAATTCAAAAAGACACTATAAAATATAAATAGTCAAGTATTACAAGAAGACGAAGATGAAAATGAAACCACTTCTAACTACTCACACTCCATATATAAATAGTCAAGTATTACAAGAAGACGAAGATGAAAATGAAACCACTTCTAACTACTCACACTCCATGATTGACGATTGTTATGATATAAATCAGATAGATTGAAGTCTATCCAGTTAAAATAAATATCATATATGTTCAAGTAAAGTTGCTTGTCTTATTAGATTCCTTCTGTCATTATATAAATATGTAAAGTTGTTTGTCTGTATTAGGCTTATCCAACTTTTGTCCATATTAGGCCCTACCCTGTTTTTTTGTATTAGGCCTGTCCATCTTTCTAGATAAGGTTTATCCTATTAGATAATAGCTATTCGAACTTTCTAGATAAGGTTTATCAAAATTTTCAGTAATAAATGGTAGAAAGATCACAACTAGACCCAAGCATGTGTTCAAGCCGTTCAAAGATATTTCAGTTCAAAGAGACATCTACCTTCGGCGAAAATCCAAAAAATCTAGATTTCTTTACAGATAAAAGTGGCGGGCTGCCCTTGCCACTACCAGTATATAAAAGTCAAAGATATTTCAGTTCAAAGAGACATCTACCTTCGGCGAAAATCCAAAAAATCTAGATTTCTTTACAGATAAAAGTGGCGGGCTGCCCTTGCCACTACCAGTTTAATTGAAGAATTCAAAAAGACACTACAAGATATAAATAGTCAAGTATTACAAGAAGACGAAGATGAAAATGAAACCACTTCTAACTACTCACACTCCATGATTGACGATTGTTATGATATAAATCAGATAGATTGAAGTCTATCTAGTTAAAATAAATATCATATATGTTCAAGTAAAGTTGCTTGTCTTATTAGATTCCTTTTGTCATTATATAAATATGTAAAGTTGTTTGTCTGTATTAGGCTTATCCAACTTTTGTCCATATTAGGCCCTACCCTGTTCTTTTGTATTAGGCCTATCCATCTTTCTAGATAAGGTTTATCCTATTAGATAATAGCTATCCGAACTTTAAATCAAATGAAGTCCATACTCTTCTATAAATAGCTAAGTGTTTTATGAGAAGGGCAGAGGTTTTAGAAGAAGCGTGCTTGTACTATCTCTATTCCTACTCTTTCAAAAGCTTTGTACTCTCTTTTCTTGTAAGTAATAAAGTTTGCTTTTGTACAATTATCATTTTAACTCTGTTGTAATTTAAATTACTTTGATGAAATTATTATTTTGTTTTAGTTAATTGATATGATTATTTATACTTATGTGCATCACATTACTTTGTCCGGATTCTATTCTCCTTTCCATTTCAGTTTAACAATTACTCTTACGCCACAATTAAAACTAAATATACATCTCTTCCATTAAAACTAAATATACATCTTCATTACCTTCGGTCCCTCCACACTATCCAAGTCGCGCGCAAATTAAATAAATCGAGAAAAGGTGTTTAATGTGCACTAATAAGAGTTTTAATGTGACACTAATAAGAGTTGAGAGACCGTGAAGAAAATAAGCCCATAAAAATTCCTTAGGATATTTGTGGAGAAGAGAGAGTTGTATTGGGAAAGAAAAACATTATTTTAGTCGAGGGGAGGGGAAAAATCGCTTTTTGACGCATCATTGTGAGAAGAGAGAAGTTGTATAAGAAAGCAAAACACTTTTTTAAGAATGAGGGAGAGAAAAATCTATTTTTGACACGTCATTGGGCTATTCGAGCCACAATCAATTGTTTGTTGTGGACATCGGCTTTCTGTTGCGCGTCACTTACTTTTATGTTACAATATTAAAGACCAGACAGTTTTTTTAAAGCGACAAAATAAAATAAGAAGATCCTAAAGGATACTTAATTGATATGATTATTTATACTTATGTGCATCACATTACTTTGTCCGGATTCTATTCTCCTTTCCATTTCAGTTTAACAATTACTCTTACGCCACAATTAAAACTAAATATACATCTCTTCCTTCGTCCCTCCACACTTCCAGTCGCCGCAAATTAAATAAATCGAGAAAAGTGTTTAATGTGACACTAATAAGAGTTTAATGTGACACTAATAAGAGTTGAGAGACCGTGAAGAAAATAAGCCCATAAAAATTCCTTAGGATATTTTTGTGAGAAGAGAGAAGTTGTATTGGGAAGAAAACATTATTTTAGTCGAGGGGAGGGAAAAATCGCTTTTTGACGCATCATTGTGAGAAGAGAGAAGTTGTATAAGAAAGAAAACACTATTTTAGATGAGGGGAGAGAAAAATCTATTTTTGACACGTCATTGCTAGCCACATCAATTGTTTGTTTGACATCGCTTCTGTTGCGGTCACTTACTTTTATGTTACAAATATTAAAGACCAGACAGTTTTAAGCGACAAAATTAAAATAAGAGATCCTAAAGCGATACCTCTATAAGTTCTGACACCGCCGGTAAAATAAGCCAATTTTTATATGATAAATTAAATTTTAGATAGCACAATGTGAGAGGATTGTAACCAAGGCACATCAAATGAAAATGAGACCCTTATCTTACCATACATTACCCTAATTTAATAAACCTTCTCAACCCATCCAAACAAAGCCTTAATAACACACATTAGAGTTTCATTTCTTGTCTGAGTATTCTGGATCGCTCTCAAACCTCAGGTTAACAATCAATTGAAATCTAATTCCATGTTAACAATAAATTGCAAAATTCACTAGTAGTTGGACAATTTTAATTAAATTATCATGAATTGATGATTAGCTTACAAAATGATCGTTCACAAGTTAATAGAACACAATTAGAAAGTCTCGACTTGACCAATTCCAGTTAAGAAAAATTGTGCTTCTTACCTCATCCACGATATACTTCAAATAATTACAACAGATGGTAACAGTAGAAATGGATAAGATTTTCAAAAGCCGGTTCATCAGCATAAAAATATAAATATCTATATATATATACTACATTTTGCTGTCAGAAAGGTTACTCCTTGTGGCGAGAAGCGCGATCCTTCCTTTGCCCGCCAAGAATACGTGAAATTTGCAGACCTCTGCTAAATGCTTGGTTGAAAAGCATACGAGTCTGGAACTCGGACACAAACGGAAACCAGGCAAGGAATGCAACCGGAGTAAACAAAAGCAAGCCCATAACAATCTCATAACCACGTGCCAGTGTCCGAACTGATCCCCAAAAACCAGCACGTTGAACGACAGGCTTACAAGCTTGTGCAATCTATAAAATGGAATGGAACACAAAATGAAGGAGATTACCATCAAGAAGAAAAAGCATAGAAGGTGATGACGAGGTGGTGAAATGAACATTATTTCTCATTAGATGAACTGGGAAACTCATTATGCCTGGAATTTGAAACCTTTCCATTCAATCTTGTTTTCCAATTCTCATCTTTGAAAAGCCTAATGGCAAATTTAAACAAGCGGAATTTTCCTCGAATTCTATCCATTTGGTTTAAGGCCCTTTTCCGTTTTTCAGAAAAAAACCAAAACACTATTGGAAAAACAACTTAGTTTACTAAAATAAGGTCAATAACAGAAATCACAAAAATTCATCTATCGAAATTATTCCAAATAATTCAATTAAATTCACTTACCAAAAGCATTCCCCAGCCAGTTGGCATGAAAGCAAGAATGCACACAACAATGTCCTGAACTGTCATGTGAAGCAATGCCATTAAAGTAACCAGGACAGAAACGAAAGCAAGGAATATCATTCCCTTGATTAGCCGGAAGACAAGCTGGAAGTTTGCACTGAACCTTCGCCTTCCAACAGATACAGTCTGCACAAGAAAAACAGGTGTATTGCATCATATCAAAACAGGCATGTGTACACGCAAATTTTGGCAAATTAAAGATTAAAGTTTTCAGGAGAATAAAAATATGAAGAGAAAAAAATCATTATCTTGTGTGGCATTAGCTAAACCTTAAAAATGACACTACACAGACAGACGCAGGTTTTCTCATGGACAATAATTTTTATCTTCAATTTTTCCTCATATGGAGATTTATTTCAATGTGATAGCGTCTTTCAAGCACCACTTAATAGCCTAGTCAAGAGAATGAATTTCAAAAGAGGTTGCATGTCAGCTATAATGCTCGCAAACTTACTCATGAACTGTAGAAAACTAGAAAGCAAAGTACTGTCTAATGGCTTCCAACTATATTACTAACATAGACAAATTGAAAAAACCATGAGATGTGCCGCAGAAAATATTCACTGAGAATATATTATGATTTAAAAATCAGATCCTTACCTTCATGACGAACAATATCAAGAAGATGACCAGCCATGATACTCCGTAGACCTATGACAAAGGAAAAGAACATTATGTTGATTTTTTTGCTTCCGTCACTGATGAGAAATAAAAGTTGAAATAACAAAAGGGTAACATGTCTTCGGAAGATGATATACCAGAAAACTTTGGGTATTCTTTGTAATCTTTAAGTGATATACTAGCCCATATTGATAGATAAAAAATCGTAAAGATAACAATATCTCAGCCACAATTCCGCGTTTTCCAGAATGACGGAGATGCTCTTGTTCCTCTTCCCACCATGATTCCCAACTTTTTTCTGGTGGTACACCTATACCCCCAAAGTTACTGATCCATTTGTTCCAATCAGTCCAATCATCAACAATCTTTTGCCACTCAAAACCAGAAGGATTAAATAGGAAGGGAGCAAAAAGCCAAGTTCCAACCATGAACCACATAGATATAGTGATCAAAACATAGGCAACAGCACTTCTATAAGGCTGACCAAAGATCTGATACACAACAAGCAAAATCATCATCTCAATTCCCTTGACAAAGTGACTGCGGGAATAAAGCCTATAGTTTTCAGCAAACTTGGCATGGAACACCACAAATCCTCGACCTGTAGGCCTGTATTTTGCACCTCCATGAAGCAAAGTCCTTCCATAATAGTGTGTCTTGGTCCCAAGAGAAAATGTGAAAAATACTGGTGCCAATTGCAATTGCATTAATACAAATTCACTTAGCGCTGTCCGGAAACCCCTTTCCAAACCAATTTCCATCAGCATAGGCAAGGCCATCAAAAATCCAATTTGAACAAAGGACTGAGAAGCAAGAGCCACCTGAAGAGGCTTGTTATCTCGAAGTGCTTTCTGATTAATTAAACCTTCCTCAAGTCCACTGAGAACAAGATAAAGGCGGCCATAGAGGAACACATACACAGTGAGGACAGTTATCTGAAAGGAAAAAGAGAAGACAATTTTAAGAATCTCAACATTGGTACCCAGTTCTAAAATCCTAAGATAAATGAACAGAATTCCTCAGCATACCAGAGTACTGAAGTAGAAGCCAACTGTGGTGAAATAGCAAGACAGCATACGGAAAAAGTCAAAACGGTGTCCAAGTCTGTATATGTCACGACTCAAAGTCTGTTCACCATTTCCATTAGCAATTTTGGCCTCAAACATAGAAATCTGGTTGAGTCCCACATCCCTTCCCTTTCCAACTTGTATGTATTCATGATGAGTAACATTGCCTTCACGAAGTGTAGAATTGAAACCTACAATGGATATAAGTCACAGGATGTTACCTGGCAGAATCAAACATCATGTAAAAAACCCCTAGAAAGTTCTACACTAATACAAACCAGCAAATATGTCTTCACTCAAATTGATAACCTTTGATGCTTTACTGACACCCCCTCTAGTGAGGTGAAAAAGCCTATCAAACACATCTGGATGGCCATAATGGAACCGAACCCTAAATAAAAAAAAAGGTATGGTAAAAGTTTAGGACAAGAGACAATAAATGTGTTGAGAAGCAATGAAAGCACATGGATTATCAAATAAGAGAAAATCTGCAGTATAAAACGTTTTGCACATCAAAACTTATGCAATCTACATTTACACTATTTTCAATGAATATGTAATACATAATAATTAGCTATCTTCCTTTTCCCTAAAGGAATGCCACCACATAACAAACTGAAATTCTACGTTCTGCATTTCATTTTGTTCTAAACTTTTGGAGGGCAAGAAAAAGCAAGGGGAAAAAAATTTAGGAGCTAAATTTACTGAGCCACGATAACTTACTTCAGCGGGTTGGCCAACAGTCTTTGACCTATAGTCACAAAACTGGTCTCTTGATTTGACATAAACCATGCAAGAGATGAAACACTGCACCAACAAAGGAAAAATCACTGGTACATAATATCCACCACTGCAAGAAAGTAGCACACATCAAAATCAATACATTACCTTCCTGTAAAGATATGCTCCCTAAGCCCAAGTATAGTAGGATGCCTCACACCATCATGCCTTTTCAGAAATTCTTCGAGCAAATTCCTCATTTTTAAGGCCTCTTCCATGTAGTTATCCTACAGAAATAATACCACAGAACCAACAATTTGCTTCAGCCAAGATAGTGTTTACTTAAATATAACCATCTCCATCACCTGGTTCATGGCTGATTAAAAGAAGAAGAATAATTACCTGGTTCATATCTATTGTTTGCAAGCCTTCACCGCGTGTGAAGATAATAGCATGATTTTGATTTTCAGGTTTTCCCTCACCCAAAATGGCTGGTCCTGGAAGTTTGATTCGGTAAATAACCTGAACAGAGAAGGGGAAAAAAACCATCAAACAGGAAATGCTCATATGTTAGATGCAAACAAAGTTAACAGGGACATATAAACAGAACAGAATGGTGCCAGTCAATTCAATACTAAAGAACAAGATGAATGGTTCCACAATGAGGAAACTACAATGCACTGAAATATGAAGGGAAACTACAAAGGGATTCAAGCTCATAAATCCCTCCAAAATATCCACATCAGTTTTCCCTAAAATCAACCATTCAGGTGCAAAAATGAAGAATAAAAACTCCAATACAATCTGGCAGTCAGGGTTTTAAATAACAAAAATGCGAAACAGTAGAAGAAATGGAAACTGTCATGATGGGGACAGCAGCAGAAGCAGAAACTATGTTACGAAATCAGCCTTAATCAAACTGAATCAATCCATATCAGCCACTAGTACCATAAATTTTTAAAAGCAATTATCAAAATCATCAAATCAACAATGCATAACCATTTAATAAAATATAGGTTTGAAACAACAAAAGAATTTAATAACATATGCAAGATGTTAAGTGAATAATAACCTAAAGGAACAATTTATAAAATAAATAGCCAGTTTTCATATTCTGTATACCATTTCATATTCTGTATAATAACCTAAGGAACAATTTACAAAATAAATAGCTAGTTTTCATATTCTGTGTACCATTTCCAGATTATTGGTAAAACAATCATACAGAAACAAAAAAAAAAAAAAAAAAAAAAAAAAAAAAAATTCCTTTGTATACCTATTTCAAATATTGTGTATAATAACCTTAAGGAACAATTTTACAAAATAAATAGCTTAGTTTTCATATTCTGTGGTACCATTTCCAGATTAATTGGTAAAACAATCATTAACAGAAACCAAAAAAAAAAAAAAAAAAAAAAAAAAAAAAAAAAAAAAAAAAAAAAAAAATGTAAAAATGCGTAAAAGATCCCATTCATAAATAGCCATTAATTACAACCATGCCAGCAATACACGTGGACTCGTGCATGCATAATTATATATAATTAGTTTGACTTTGGCATAGCTATTAAAAAAGGTCAAGGCATGAAATCACATCAAGACAGAATAGAATAAATGCCAAACAAGGAAAGAACAATGTGGTTCCACTCCTCCCTGTACATCATGTTCTCCACAATATAATCAAAGGTATCAGTAGTGCATGAGGCTCCCCATGGCATGTTCCCTTAAGTCTATGAAAATAAACAATCAATGACTACTGTTCCAGATAGCTAAATTAATTCATGCAAGTTGAAGTATTCAAGCCAACTGCAACACAATCAATGCTCCATTGCAAGCCACTAGGATAATTAATGGTAGAGCTGTAAACGAATCAAGCCAAGATCTCTTGAGCTCAAGTTCGGCATGTTAAAGGTATTCTTGAGCTCAATTTGAGTTTGAAAAGCTTGAGTCCAGCTTGGCCAGAGCTCATTTGAGTTGTAAATGAGCTCAACCTCAGCTTGTTTACAACTTACAGTTCACAAAAAAAAAAAAAAAAAAAAAAAAAAAAAAAAAAAAAAAAAAAAAAAAAAAAAAAAAAAAAAAAAAAAAGGAGGAGGAGAAAAAGAAAAAATTGAGACTCGTTTACAAGCTCAAACTAGAACTTAGACATGAGCTCATTTACAGGCTGATTAGTTAAATACTGAGGCTTGTAAGCCTCATTTCAAAACTCAAGCTTGGCTCACTTATTAAAAAGTATGATAAGCAGGCTCGAGCTCAACTTGTTAAGCTTATCGAAGTTGGGCTTGAACAACCATCTTTCAAGCCAAGCCAAGCCTCAAGCAGCTTGACTCATTTACAACCCTAATAAGTAGTATGCAAACCCTTTCTTAAAATAATGTATGAATAGAAGACAGTAAATCCTTGATAGCTCGCTATAGTGCAAAATCCAATAAATGCAGATCTTGAACTAGTTGGATTTACCTCATCCAAATTTTGTACTGGCTCTGAAGAATCAATGGACTTGGGAGAGGCAGCCTTCACAAGAGCAGAGTAGTAAACTTTTTGGTTGTTTTTCTTGGATTTGTCTTGGCTAGTTACTTCAACCTCATCAATATATGCCACACGGAGTGACGGATATCTGCAAATTGGAAAACATATCCAGGGATTAAAAATTGTACAAATAGCAATTCAAACAAAAAGTTAACCAGAACATACGTTGTCATGAGCCTCAAAATGTCCTGTGCTCGAGGATCGCCAGACCGCTTGTGAATCCCATATTGCTGGCATGACACCACATATGTGAACTTCATATCAGCTACAGCTTGACATTGTGTCAACAACGACCTTTCTCCCTTTGACTCATCCTCTGTATTCAATTCTATGGCTTTATAGCCCTCCATCAAATCTAAGCAAGCATAATGACCGTGTTAAGAAACTAACTTTTACATAAAAAGAGCGCATTACATTACTGCAAACACAAAACACCAAAAAAATATCCTACAGATTCTAAGAGACATATCATTTACCTTCATGCTTGGCCATATCAAGGAAAGCCTGAAGCTCCAAAGCCTTCCGAAAATACATCATACCTCTTACTGGCATATTTAATATCATTTTTTAGTAAATAGGAAGAGAAATATGTGCCCTACCTCCCCCCTCAAAGAGAGGAGAAAGATAGAGACCAAGAACAGGGAACAAGGCCAAGAAAAAAAAAAAACAAAGAAACTACCAGTTCTAGTTAAAGTTTGGCCCCTGTATGATGCCCACAGACGAAGTTCTTCTTCTAATTCATCTGTTAATTTGAGTTCTTCTTCGGAGCAATGTTGTACGCGCTCAAGAAAGTTGGTCCATTCATCTGTGCATAACCATAAAATCAATACCAAAAACATAAATATCACACTTTATAGAGCATACTAATAAAACAGAAATAAACCTGGAAAGATCTTTTGCAAGTAAAAGAGGATTGAAACACCATCTTCATTTGGCACTTCCAAATCTCGCAAGGAAAATAGTACCTCTTCCGTGTAGTAAGGAGTTAAAACACTACAAGATAAATAGATCATATGAGAAATGCTTTAGTTTATATAGTTGAACATCAAACCATAAATTAGAGATGGAAAGCAACCAAGTGTTCTACCTATCTATAATTTCTACTACATTTTATCAATTAGGTGGGTTTTTACCATTGATCTTGGCACAAAGCAACCAAATCAGAATAAACGTAATAATGTAGCATGAAACCATTGTAGGTGTTAGGAGATGAATCCCACATTAAATAATAATAAAATAACTGCCTCATTGGAATAAGCGATAGACCTAGCATAAGCCAATTGGTTGTATGCAAGTGGGTTCCAACGCTCACTTACAAGCCCAAAGCATGCATGGGACCATGACTTTAACATGGTATTAGAGCCTCATGCCCAACCAGGCTGAACCTTGAGACCCATATTCAAGCCTTAAAGGACCGAAACTAATGGATATATGCCAGTTAGTCTATGTGATAGCATGTGTCAACTGGCTTGTTGATGTTGGGTTAAGTTAAAGCCAGCCTAGTTGCACTTGAGGTGGTGTGTTGGGAGATAAATTCCACATTAAATAATAATAAAAAAACTAAATGACTTATAATTGAATGAGTGACGGACCTAGCATAAGCTAATTGATTTTGTGCAAGTGGGTTCCAACACTCACAAACTCATAGCCCCAAATCTATATGGGCCCATGGACTTTAACAGAGGGAAAATGGACTGTTGCAGCTAAGATAATATGATCAGAACTTTTTCACAAGTTTTTGACTAGGGATTAGTTTGGCTTATCTGCATAGATATGTTATTCATCTTCCTGTGGAGTTCAATAAGTTGTGTATGATAAAATACTATATCTTCTGCCTATAGCTACAAAGGTAACAAGGGACTGTATTTCAAATACATAAATGCCCAAAATTTTCATCCTTTCGACCATAGGAGAAACCTTTGAATTGCAAAGAATTGAGATTATCTACAATGGAATGTCCACAGTGAAATAAATGTGATGTTGTTCTGTGATACAATGCATACAAGAGTGTTGAGACATGATTTCCCTTTTGTTTCTGTCTACTTGAGAAGCATGAGTATACAGGAAGCTTACGAGAAAGAAAGCATATTGCGAACTTTAGGAGCCCCAGGCATGTCCATAAACAATGAATTCGAAAAGAAAGAAATGCGTCTCCTTGCTTCTAAGTTTGATGGTACATCCATGGCAGATTCTTTTGTTGTAAGCAAAAGGTAAAGCCGCTTGATCTGTAAATACATGTAACACAAAATGAGAGATTCATAAACAAATATATTCATCTATATGCATTGACATACCTGCATAAGCATTCATAATGATATATATCTTTGCTAACTACTACCAAGGAAGCACACCTTCTCTTTCCATGCTTCTGTTACTGGATCAATAGGAAACTTGATAGCCCCATGAGATGCAAACAACTGATAATCCGAGGAAACCATATGCTCATGTCCAGATCCACCATGTAATGAATCCAAACTGTTGAAAGGGAAAAAAATTAGAAAGAAACTAGGACTCAGATGCTCCATAAGATGATTACATCATGATTTTGCACCTCAATACATTATCCTCCAGTATATCTCTTTGCACAACCTCCAGCATGTCTTGGAATAGAATTACAACTTGATCCCTGTCCTCCTGTTTGTTGTCCAACTGCAAAAATCAAAAAGGATTAAAGTTTCTCATCGTTCCTAGTTTAATTTAAATGTTAATATAAAGATATTACCAAATATTTAAATGTTAACATAAAGATATTACCAAATATATGATAAGCTTCACAAAGTGGTCATAGAGGCTAGGAAGAGCACTCATCTTGCATTCACTTATCAGTGTACCTTCCTCTATATGTTTGTCAACCTCAGTGAATAAGGTATTGATCACTCTGAAAAATGCCATCAAGAAAACACCAAGACACATCAATTGCATGGTAGAATTAACATCCACCTGAAGCCTTATTTCAAGAACCTGTAGCTTAGGAAGAACTTAAAACAATATATTCATTTGAGTCTTCATCTATAATATGTACATCACAAAAGAACTCACGGTTTCTCACGGTCCCCTTGAACCAAGAACTTGATAATGTTCTTAAATGAAGCATAACATTCACGAACAGCACAAGACATGTAATTGTCAGCTGCAATTCTCTTTTTCAGCTCTTTATCTTTACCATTACTGTCCTTGGCCATGTCTAAGGCAATTGGGATCTGAAAGGATATACAGACAGAATTACTATCTTGACATCCAGGTTATATTAACTTAAAAAAAATAAAAAAAATAAACACCTTGCTAGCGAGCAAAAATGGAGGCCACTGTATGAGTTCCAAATCACGGTCAGCCCAATATGGAACAAGCAACAAGTCCATTTCCCTGAAAGTAGGAGACATCTAGGCCATATAAGCATAGCCATAAAAAAAAAATTCAAAAGAGAACATTAAAACAAGAACTTTACCTATTGCTTATTAGATCTTCCTCTCTAAAGCTACAGATTATTTTGTTCCACAATTGAGCAAATCTTAGAGCCTCTTTATTTTTGTTAGATGGTACCTACATAACGGCACAGATACACAGGTTCAGGCAGTGATGTTTTCTAACAAATCACCAACATGCAACATCTACAATTTGAACCATGCATCTATATATGTATGTGCAAATGCATGCACGTGCTTTGTGTGTCTGTGCATGGTTGGGTTGCGCCTCTGGGTGCACTTGTAGTTACATGTTCATGTGCACAGAAGTGTATCTGTAGCACTGAAGTCTAACCTTGGCAAAATTGTGAGATATGGGAGCCTTAAAGCCTTTATTCCTTGGCTCACTCTTATGCATCTAGGTGTACATGTCTTTGGTGCATGGGTTGTACGTATGCATGTGTGCAAATACAAATGTGTTTATATAACATTGAAGTCTAACCTCAGCAAAATTGCGAGACAAGGTGGCCTTCAACCCTTTCTTCTTTGGCTCACTCTTCTCCTCTGGAATTAAACAGGCATTGAAAGCACCGGGCAACGATTGGAAACGAGATCTAAGCATTCCCAATGTCCGAATCTGGAATGCATAGAAGAAATTAGAACCAAAAGAAAGGCTATTGAATTCTTTTTGAAGTCTCGAGTTATCCACACCAAAAAGCAAATAAATGGAAACTAATGCTTTAGATGATGAGCATTCATGAAAGGTGTCCTCCGAGCTTGATACAGAATGGCCAAAATGCAGCAACAATATCATATATTTACAAAACATTAACTCCAATGCAGACTTTAACAAACAAATTACCCTTATGGATAGTTATAGTTAAATGGGAGAAAATATTTTGACACATGAAGCCTCCCTTTGCTACTGCACTGTACATTGTGCACCAGCATCGGCATGTAAGACAAGTTTATTTCACTTTTAATGTTAAGGTAACATGACCCTCCAGAGCCTTGCTTGAGAATGCCCATCATCTAACTATAGGGGTCATTTTTTTCAGAGTATCATACATGGGACCTTTTTGGAAGTCTTTATTATGAAGTTCAAAAGATCATTCCATAGACCAGCTTGAAATCACAGGATATCTTTGGGCCTTTGTAATGTTCTTCTCTGGTTCTAGGTATAACAAACTGCTGAAATTCAGTCATAGAAAATGCAGATTGTAACAACAAAGATAAGCTATCCCCCTAGCAAATTGACTGAGAGGAATATAAGGAAACAATTAAAATAATAATGCCTCCAATCATGCAGAGAACACTTTAAGGTTCCAAGCTCCTGAAGCACAGACACTACCTACATGAACAGGGTTTGGAAGGATTAAATTCCAAAAGCCACTACATTTGACATTCATTGACTATCTTCAGCACCAAAAAGGAAATTAACAGATACGGTCTGGCTAAATTGGGGTATTAGAGGGAGCATTTGAAATCATAATTTTATGTGCAGCTTTTTGCATGACATGGCTGCTTTTAAACCATAAACTTTTGTTCCTGCAAGCCCTAACACTATATTTCGGAAGGGAGAAAATGGAGGAAAGAAAGCAACAAATGGAAATAAGAGAATTTTCAATCATTTTCTTTTTTGCAAAGGCGAAAAAGTGGGGAAAAGATATGTGAGACCCACTATTCACTTTCTCCACAACTTGGAGAAATTGGAAGGAAATTATTTAAATTACATTTTTAAAAATTTATTTTATTTGAAAGTGAAACATGTAAAATAGAGATTATACCATTTATAGAACTACTTCCATCTTGCTTCCTTTCCTAATATCCAAACAAGAGGAAGATTAATTCTCACCCTCTGAATATTTGCCCTCCTCTTTTCCATTCTACATTTTCCTTCCTCCATTTCATGCTATGCAAGCATAGTGTAAGATTTTTCCATCGCACTGAACAATAGCCCTTGTGTTCAGCACCAAAATTATTAAGCTCTTAAATACCTGGAGCTTAGTTTTGAGTTTTGTGATACACAATCTTAGCTCTATGAGATTCTTATTTTCCATTCTACATTTTTCTTCCTCCCTAAAATGTTTCCAAACATAGTGCAAGTCTGTAAGATTTTGCCATATGCAATGTAGCCGTTAAATTCGGCACCAAGATTCTTAAATTATTCAGCCCGAAAATACCTGAAGCTCAATTTTCAGTTTTATGACATGCCATCTTAGTTCTAAGAGGTTCTTAGCATTTCAAATGCATCAGGAAAATATAAGCACTAGAAAGGCAGAAAATAGATGTGACTATGGGGTTTAATATATGCAGACAAAAGAAAATTATTCCTAACCTCTCCAAGGCGTCTGAATGCACCATAAATACCTCCAAATAAAGTGGAAAATATAGCATACCAAATCTGAGTATCCATGAAATATACCTAAAAGGAGCGAATAGGTTAGAACCATGCAGTATTTGGTTCAAATAAAAACACAGATGAATTTATTGATGAAAAAGATTAACCCATACAAGAATAATTGGAGCCCAGAGTGCAATCACAACTCCGATATTGTTCCTTGCTGCAAAGAAACAAAAAATAAATCAAATAACTTTCTGATGAATAATATATAACATTAATCATTATATGTGATGTTATCATCTTCATGTTGACCATACCACGTGGAAAGAACTCATGCCATTTGAAAGTAGTAACATGAACATCCATAACAGCTTTTGTTGGACCAACTAAAGGCTTTATCTGCGATGAAGAAATTATAATTAGGGGGAGAAAAATAGAATTTCTTTCTAAGACAAAAAAACAAAGGTTTGGTCAACTTATTTCAGCCTAATTACTAGATCAGTCATTATCTGCTGCTAAGCACTTTGTTTCAGCTTCATGCTTTGGATAAGATATTTTATTAAGGGAAAAAGAAAATGGATTACTAGATGAGCATAAGCTATCCTATCCTGACCTACACAGAAACACAAGTAACACAAAAAATGTGAATTTTGACTATATTTATTGCTGCAATAATAGATTAAAGAAACCCAACATATACCTCTATATAGTAACTAAATGCCAACTTTGTCATTAATAGAAGAACCCAAAACATTGTATACCTGAAAGTTCAAATCAAGACATTAGATATCAACTGTACATGTAAAGCAGCAATACCTCACCCTGAAGCAAAGAATCTTACTTGAAGAGAGAAAGTGTGCTCTCATGCATTCCTCGCCCAACATAGAGACGTGGCTGTAACATCATGTGTAGGAATGCTTAAAACAAATCCAATTTGTACAAAAATTACATTGAATTTTAACTTTCAGAAATTCCTGGATTATAGTTATTTTACTTGACCATATAAAGTAAGAGAGATGACAAAATAATTAAAAAAGAAAAACCACTACATACCTGCGACCACCACATCATGAGCATCACAATCCTATAATTTGACCTCTCAAGGAATCGACGAATGAAGGGAAAAAGAAACAATAGTGCTGCTAGCATATTTGGTGACAAGTAAATAACTACTGCCAAAATAAACAAGGATGGTGAGCTTGAATTGTTTCCAAACCAGCTTTTGATGGTTTGAGCAAATCCTGGAGGATTCTCCCAGGTATAAGCATATGTAACTGGTAGAACTACAACCCATGCAGCCGCTGAAACAACCTTCAGAATATATCTCAATTTAACGTGGAATGACATGATCTGCCGTGCTTTCCAACTAAGGATTACATCAAGGACAGCTTCATTGTTGAAAGGAGTAATTGTCAGATAATTTTTCTTTTTGAAAATGGTTAACCAGTGATGAATAAAGAGAGAATCTAAATAAGACAAAGCAAAAAAAAAAACAAAAGACAAAAAGGAATTGAGTTTAAGCAATCAATTACTTGGTTATATACTTATATTTACATTTTCCATCATTTTAAATTTATATATATATATATATATATGGATAAAGAACAGCACATGTGATTTAGATGAGATTCCAGATAATCAACAGAAGTTTAACTACACTCTTACCTTGCCCAAGCTTCAATATTGCAGCAGTTATAAAGACACTCAATACTTTCTTGAATACATCACCACTAAAGATAGAACTTGGTTGTCCCGTACTATTCCAAGCAACAATGATCATAGCCTTAAAACAATAAGCCAATGTCAGCTCCGCATCAAATAATCAAAGGTATTAAAGAAATATGTGCAACAAAGGGAAGAAGACATACCTGTAAGCATAGAATGAAAAAACTCCACATTCGATCAAAGCTTCTAAAGACATGCCAGAATGTACGTATTTCAACAAAATTAACTTTCCCCACCCATTGATCTCTAAAAGCTGGTTTGTTCTCCTGGATACCATATGCCATAACAGTAAACAGTACATAATTTCTCCATGCATAATGAAACTCTTTCATATAAAATGCATCAGTTTCATCAGCAAAATAAACCATTGAATTCTTTGAAAGTGATCACAAGACACAATCAATAGAGAAGTGTTTTCTTTTTTTCCTTCGACTCAGGTACACACATAAGTACTTCTAACCTTACATAAATGAAATGGTGATGAGGCAAATTAACCAGGAAACCAAAAGTGCCAGGTTTTGTAAAGTAGACAGATTTAGCAAGACAGAGTCAAAATCCTAGCGAGACACCATGAAAGACTTGTTAGAAGCAGTAGGCACATTTGAGGCCTAACAAAACTTGAAGCCGGTGCAGACCCACAATTTTAGCATAATGAGATCAAAGAAATATACAACATTGTTAAATTTAAAAATCAAATTATGTAAAATTTTGAAAAGCAATATATTTTGTAATTTCAAAGAAATTTTTATTATGTAAGTTGACTATGTTCTAAAATTGAAAATGTCATTAATTCAGTAACTCACAATTGAAAAAAATAGGCTTAATAGACTCAAAGAGCATATGCCATTTAATTTTTTTTTTTTTTTTAATTATATATCATAAACACAACAATTATTAACATAATACAATAATGTACTATGAAAAATGGTTCCATAATAGAAATTTTACTTTTCCATTCTACTTGAATTGAACCAGGAAAAAAGTTTACTGACCTTCCAAACCATTTTGGGATTACACATAGTAGAAAGAAATAGTATATGTGAACTCTTTAAAACATTACAGAAAATCTTTTGGGTACTCAAACAGGAAAGGGGAAAAAAATGGAAATTCAAAGACTAAAATCCCTTTGGTCCTTATATTGCTGATATCATAGGTTATTACACTAGCTAAAAACTTTGAAGTTCAATAGAGTATACAAATCATTTTGACCAATTTACAGCAAGGTTTCTTGCATTACAGGTTTATTGTGCATACAAATCAAGAGAGTATGCACAACTTGAAACGTGTATCGGCCAATCATGAAGGAATGGGAACTTATTATATTGATTACTGTCAGCATTTTTACTTGAGTATGAAGTTCAAGAACCCCAGAAGCAATCATATATGACTCCTTTTATCAGACATCATTGCAAATTCCCCGTACATGATTCCCTACATTATTCCTGCTAATTGATTTATCCGTCATCACTAACCATCAAATTTGATATCCAAAATGTACGCTGATTTATATATCTACTTATAAAAATTATTGTTTTGAATGATAAGCAATTATATTTGTAGAAAGCTATAGTAGTCATTGCTTACCCCATTTTTATCATAACGAAATTGTTCAGCAGGCAAATGAAAGAAATCAGCATCTGCACGCATTGGCCAACCTAACCTAAAGCAATCGACCGACCTGTAGATCATAAAATTTTAAATTAATCACTAGTATTGATATATCAAGCAGGGGAAACAAATAAATAAATAAGACTAATACCAGAAGTATTCATTTAAATCATCATAGTTCCGCCATTGGGAATGCTTTGATTTCCCCTTTTTACTCCTCTCTGATTCCTATCAAGGAATACAATCATAATGAATTGTGAAGTTAACCAAAAGTAAATGGATTTTGACTCTCAAAAGGGGAAAAAGAAAAGGCCACATGCATCACCTTTGCAATCACATCATAGATAGGAGTAACAACTTTTTTCAAGAATGCCTCTTCTTCACCTCCATAAGCAGGTTTAACATTTTCCCCTGTCATGGGACTGACATTCCCAGCTAGCATGCCATACAGTTCAAATGCCATCTACAGAAAACAAAACAGTTAGGCATCTAATTACTCTTAACATTGAACCAGGGAGAAAATTCAAAAGGAGATATTCATAGATATTTAACAAGATAAATAAAGGCCAAGACTCAGAAAAGTCAGAGCTTAGCATAAATTGCAGGGATGTAAGGTTTCTGCCAAACCCTTAACATGTTGAGAAATAAAAATTCAAGTTATAAATTAGTTTTCATTGGTATTTCTCATCCATTCGTTTATATCAAAAGGGCTGAGTTTGGCTGCGACAGGAAGGTTGCTACTTTGTGGTCATATTCAAGCATCAAAACACTTTCTCTTCAAGGCTGCACAGAATATACAAAACTCTACTGACCCTAGCAAGGAGAAGCCCCATGCACATGGGACACCTTGTATGTTCATTTTCTCCTCTGACCTTTGCTATAGTAAATCCACTTATTCAGAATTCACAACACCAAAAGCTCATCCATATGAGATCTCAGCTTATGGAAAGGCGCATTGGTCTGTGTTTCTTACAATCACAAAAGAATGCCACCCAAGAGAAATTCAATTATAAAACGAGATATTACTGAAACAACATACATGGTGATAAATATAACACAGGCATTCTGGCATAAATCTCAAGTTTGCAGCTTCCCCCCATATTAAAAGATACAGGCCCATATAGAGTAATTTACGCTGCTGCACTTCCTGCTGTATGGTTGGTAACCTGTAAATTTTGAAAAACAGAATCAGTTAATACACGACCAATAGTAATCTGTAAACCTTTCCTGTACCTCCCGGTAGCGCTCCTCCAAAATAAACATTTGGGGAAGTGGGTTTACGAAACAAAAAGAATACAGTACAAGCATCCTGCAGTTCCATTTACATAGTGTTTGGTTTAAATGAATTCCACGAAATTTTGTGGAATTCAATTGAAATCCATGTTTTGCTTGTTTGGTTTACATATATAGTGTTGGGAAGGGTGGGGTGTGTTTGACGGAAGACAAAAGATAATACAGTAGTTCCTGTCGATTGCCATTACAAGTGGCTTTTGGTTTAAATGAATTCCCTTATCTTTTAATTTTGTGAATTCAATGAAATTCGCATGTTATTTGCTTGCTTTTTTACAGATATATATATATATAATAATAGATTTATAGTTGATATATAAATTTTATTTAGTTGATATATAAAATTTTTATTTAGGTTGATGGAATTTAAAATGAATTCCACGAAACTAACAGAACATTACTTCTGGAACTAAAATTCTGGAACTAAAATACCCTCATATAACATATGTAGTCTATATTTAATTATAATTACCTATCACTTAGATTTAATTTCAGTTTAGTAATCCAAGAAAGCCACGTTCATCCAAATTCTTGATATCTAATTGTATAACAATTAATAGCAAAACTCAAATTAGTTTAATTGGGTAAAGAAGAAGATGGAAACCACAAATTAGTTTTCTATTCATTTACCATCCGAATGTCTAGTTATTATATAGATATTTTATATTTTAATATTAACTTTTAATAGCTAAATTTACTATGCCCTTATCATTGACATTATTTATATTGTTGTATAAAACTCTTATACTATGAGGCAAGTTAATTTATTTTGTATTTGTTAATATTTTCTTAATTGGTATATATAGTTGTTAATCATTATACACTTATTAGATATAAGATATTTCTTTCATAAAGTTAAAATTATTATTTCTAAATTTTATTATGAGGGTAGTTTAGGAAATGAGAATAAATAAAATTCAATTGTGAAATTATGCCAAACAATATTATGTGAAGTTGTTCAATTGAATTCCACATTTTAAGCTGTATCAAACACAGGAATTCATTTCTAAATGAATTCCAAGTCAAATTCATTCCATATGAACATTTCAACTCTTATTCATTTCAACAAAACATTAATGTTTCATGTTACTAACCTCATATTTGAACTGAATATTAAATTTACATAGTTCAGTGATCTAAAAGTTGGAATATGAGGTTAGCAACACAAATGTTTCTGCAGATACATACAGGAATATAAAGGATAAATATTTTTCCTATCTTCCATGTCCCTTCATATGGAGAATCTTTTAAGAGACAAGGAATGTTGGGAACCTAATTCTTCCTTGTTTTCTTTTTCCACATTCTCTTTTCTTGCCCCATGGAGGGAAAAAATTCATGTAGCAGACCCTAGTTACTTGTTGTTGCCTATTTTATGCTTTGTCCTATTTATTAATGTATCAAATGATTTTAAAATTCCCCTTCAATTTTTTTTTTTTTTACAACAGGTATTTCAAGATTTTGCGAGTTATTTTTTGCTCTGCATTGATATTAGTTTGATCAACATGGATATTTGAAATGAAGAACACATATAACCCAACTAGTTAGGAACTAAGGCTTGGTCGTGGTTGTTGTGCTTGTTTTATTTGCTTGCCTCCTTTTTCCCTCCCTCGTTTTAAAGGGAAAGTACACTTAACTCCCTCCCATTCTTCCCATTTTCTCCAACTTCACTCAAATCAAGCACACCCTAAAGCTGTAAATAGAATTTTCTCAAACGCTTATGAAGCCCCAAGTTAAAAATAAAATAATACCCTTCTAACCCTTCACCCCACCAACCCTAACTTTAACAACTAGAAGAAGAAACATAAAGTGGAAGATAGAAACTATTGTCAAAACTTATTGAACCCAAGGTAATGAAATCCAATAAGCAATTGCAAAGCTGCTTCTAGTTCAAGTTGATAGAAAATGCTTACCAAAGACTACTTTTTCTATCCAGGTACTTGCACCATTTTTTGTAGTTTTTGAAAAGCTTCTTCATCACTTCTGTCAATGCACGCTCATCCAACTAGAATGAAATAGATAAAAATATGTTAAAAGAAGATGAAATACATTGCTGAAAGACTAATCAAATCGTACTCCATAATCTGCATTATATGAAACAGTAAAGTAGCTTCTTGTTTCTTTCTGTCTTGCTGTAATGGTAAATATAGTAAAGTACATTTTCTAGTTCAAAAATATAATATACCATACGCCATCACTTTGATTGTGATGTACAAGCAATTCTATAGCATGTGTGATAGAAACAGAACTTTGAAGGTCAAAAAATCCTGAACAGAACTGTGCCAACAAACAAAAAGGAGATAATCAAACAAACATAGGGGCAGTCTTCTACAGCTGCTATTTGCCCTTGAGATGGAAACATTGGCAGAATGGAGGCAAATTCTCCCACAGCATAGTTTTCTCAATACTGCCCTCCTCTAAGAATCATGTTTTAAAAGGATTGCCAACTATTCATTAAGAATATATAATGTGTAAGTACAAACCTTGGGTTGTTGATCAGGCTTTGGAAATTGTCGAATGTGCACGAAATTGTCGAATGTGCACATTTGCAAGTAATAAGATTAAATGTTCCCTTTGATTAGCAACATTATCCTTCTGCAAATTTAATAGGCACCCAATGGAAATAGGTCAAGGAAAAAATGTTACATACTTCCAATCATACTTAATTAACTGCCAACTTCAAAATGCTTGGAGAAATAATTATTTGTAGTTCTTTCACCTGAAACCCAAACATCGCCTGAAGCCAATCTAAAATATCTTCATCTCTTTTCTTCTTGTGGTCTTTGGGCCATGGAAGACCCCTTGTGTAGCGGAGAGCTACAACAGCAGCTTGGATCTACAAATGGTTAGACACAAGCATTTTCATGCTAAGTGAGAGAAGCTAAAACAAAGCTCACTATCCAAAGCACACATAAGAAATGTACCTCAGGATATTTCATAATTGCCTGATTTGCACTATCAGGATCAAGTGGAAGGATATTGTAAGGGACATATATCTGAGTCTTTTCTGCAACTTTATCCTGAGCTTCTAAAATCTTTACAAATGTCAACAAAGAATAAGTTACACATATGTAACAGCTGGTCAGCAATTAGCATTATTAAGTTGACAAAAATTGAAATAGGTGATATCTGCCATCAGATTAAACATTCACAATAGAGTAAATGTCACAAGGTTTCACCTCACGATCTACTTCAATAGATTGTGTCATATTAACAGCTTTCAAAACCTCAAAGAGAACATTAGCAGTTTGGTATGACGCTTTCAAAAACATCTCAAAGGGAATATAGATTGTGTCATATTAACAGCTTTCAAAACCTCAAAGAGAACATTAGCAGTTTGGTATGCCTTTGTAAGCTGTGCACTGGATTTAAAAAGACAACCGTCAAAAATGGCAACTACGCTGGGATTCCAGAAAATATTAGCTAACAAAACTTCTTACTAAGACATAAGCAAATATCTCTATCTTTTCTCTTCTACAGCAAAAAACTCACCGATCAGCTTTATCAGCAGCATTTTGCAAGGCTTGGATATACTTTTTGTAGTAATGTTGATAAAAACTCTGCATTTCCCGCGCATCACTCTTTTTTACCCTTCCCATCAAGGTTGGATCATTTTCCTGAAAAGAATTAAAGAAAACCCCTCTAGTAGCAAATAGAAGAGAGCATTAATGAAGCAAATAGCTAAAGGTATCACTTAACCATATACTGGTCGTAATTCTCAATCTATAGAAATTGTTTCTACTAAAAAAATCATGTATTACACAGTGGTCATGGGTGTCAAGACTTGGACTTCAGAAACTGACATTCATTTATACTAAAATCATACCCTGTTTGTAACATACTTCTTATTTTACGCATTTTTCATAATTGCATTATGTATAAACTATCAACTATCATTCCATAGGACACTTCTTCCTTGAGCAATTATAGCATCCCAAAAAGACTCATTACCCTAACAGTTAAAACCGCTCCACGCTCCAAGACCCCAATAATTTAGTTCATGCAAATCAAAGGAACTTCCAAATCAAACATGGGACTTCAGAAAGAGACATTCATTTATACAAAAATCATACCCTGTTTGTAACACTAATTCTTATTTTACAAATGCAGAATTGCATTATGTATAACCTATCAGTCCATGGGAGACTTCTTCCTTGAGCAATAAGCATCCCAAAAAAACTCTTTACCCTAACAGGTAAACCATTCCAAACTCCAACACCACATCAATTAAGTTCATGCAAATCAATGGAACTTTCCCAGTCAAACATGGGAGTTCCTATTTTAGACAGAAGACTTAGGATAATCTGTACATTATGCAATCGCAGGTCAAATTGAGGGCCTTGACATGTCTCATACACTGTCATCTCCGAACATGCTACTTCAATGACTTGAGAAGATGAAGTTGTTAGAATTAAGCTAATAAAGCCTTTTTTTTTTTTTTTGTTGGCCTTCACAAATGGAAGCCAACAAACGATCTAGCATAATTTTTATTTCATCAATGAGATGTAATATCAGGGATTAGATAACATAAACTGCAGAATAGAAAGTATATACATGCGAAGCTATTACATACAAAAAGTACTAACATCTTGCAAGATTTCGAACAACTTGCCAGAAGGACAGTTAGTCTCTTGTCCAAATAGAACAGTATTTTTTATTAAATGCCAAATCATCAAACCATAAATAAAGTAAAGATGGATATATAACATTTTCCCACGGACTATAAACATGCATGTGCACTTCACTTGTTACTACCCATGACAAAATGAAGGCATCTCATTCCAGAATAGGTAGGTCTCCCTCTCTAACACTGGACTCCTAAAGCTAGTCCTAATTCTCTAAGGAAGGACTCCTGTAAAACATGTTCTCCTTAACCAATAAGGACTCAAAAGACTCAATGGAAATATGGGAATAATTATATATTTTATAGATGACCTTTCAAACATGACACGTTTATGTGTCATGGCACAATTGGTCCCAAATAACTATCAATTAAAATATGGGTTTCTCCATGTTTACAGTTAGTAGAAAAAAGAATGGGTTTCTCCATGTTTACAGTTAGTAGAAAAAAGAATACATTAAGTGAAATTTTTCCTGCTACATATATTTTTCCTGCTACATATTTGTCCACAATTATATATTTGTTCATCTGAAGAATAATATTTATTAATTATATGATAATGGATAGGACCATTACATACACTACAAGTTTTTGTTGCTCCAAACCATTATACTTGATGTGTTAGGCATTTTATGTTTTACAGTCACTACCGTTATTTTCCCTTTTCTGCACCACTTCCAACCAACAATTTCAATTTTTTTTGCAATTTAAATCCTTCAAAAATTGCCTAAATTAGCTTATTCTTGATTTGGCTTCATAACAAGGCAAAAATCGAGATAAGAGTATCTGTGGTATCCTTTTCAAACTTTTCTTGAAGAAGGTGTGTTAACTTTGACTTTTCCCATGTTGATTACTTGCTTTTGTAAATTACTTGTTAACAGATTTGGTGATGCTATATTGCCACTTATATCATACATTAGTTTGATAATTAGCTAGTGGCATTTCTCAGTTTTAGTAAAGTCCTTTAACATATATTTTTTATGCATTTGGCAACCTTTATAGAAATAATTGTATAGTGACAAGCTGCAACATAAAGTGAAAGCAGAGACAGCCCATTTCCATTACAAAAGACCAGAATTTAACATGATTGCACAATATTTCACTAAAAACTGCAGCCTGCAAAGTTACAATCTAGGATCCGTCCTTGATTAAAAAACTAACTATTTCTATTTCTATCAAAAGCATCCAATAAGTTGTGCCAAGGAAATTCTTTAAACGGGACGAAAAATAACTTAACTTACCCTTTCAAGACGTTGGAGGAGTGCAGTTTTAAATTGGCGAACACCACGTCCACTAGAAGTAGGGTCCAACCTATGTGCCTTCTCAAAGGCATAAAATCGGCAACCTATGTGCCTTCTCAAAGGCATAAAATCGGCCTACATTAGGAGTACCAGAAAATGAGATACGGTATCAAATGGAAGCTCCAACATAGAAATATGAAAGGAAAATACCAATAAGGATGGGTGTTCACCCACATGAAAATAAAGAAAAAGTTTGAATTAAAATCCATATAATCATGAAAGCTTTCTAAGTAAATTCAACACTAGTATGGCATTTGAAGTCCACAACAGAATTTTCAGAGCTGAAACAATTATTTAAGGAAATCAGAAATACACAAAAACCTTTAATTACCTTATGGAGATTTAGTAATCTAGTGAAGGCAGTTGCACATACTTTCAGGAATATAAACAGCTAAGACCAGGACCAAGACAGGAATAACATTCAATTCATTACATAATGCAGCCTTTTTTTTTCACGAGAACAGAATTTTCTGAGAAAAGAAAAAAAGGAGAATAGATTGTGGAGGACAAGCAATCCTCCACAATGTTAAAAAGTGCAACCACTTGTCAAATCTCATAATCACAGAATCACATGCAACAAGCATCACGTTCATACATTCACTTTCACATACGCAAGCTTGCCATGCAACATGCAAAAGAAAGCCCAAGCAACCCAAAATACATTAAGGCATGTAGAATGGAACACAGCGGAGAAAAACGCATGATTCAAATGAAGTCAAATTTCTCAGAATTCTGAGCCTTCAAGATGTAGCAGACACAAGGCTCTCAGAATTCTGAGCCTTCAAGATGTAGCAGACACAAGGCCAACAGGCAACCAAACACTACACACACAAAGAGGCAGACTACTATACTGGTAAGTAGAATGAAGGTGTACTTAGTTACAGCTTAAAATTCATGCTGCCATTACAACCTGAAATTTAAGAACCCATTTTAATAAAAAAAAAAAAGGTCAGAAATATGTGAAAAAAAAAAAATTTCCCTCGAAACATACTAGAAAGCAATTCAGAACCCAAATTAATCACAGAAAAAAGATAAAAAGTTAAACAAATCAAATTACCCAAAAAAATAAAAATAAAAAAAAGCCAAAAAAATGTAGCCTTCTATAAACTTACATAGATAAGCAACTCTTGGGTTGCTAGATTCTACTTCATTAGCAACACGAAGAATAGGAGCTATCTCAACTAATGAAGATGGCACCACCTCACTGTCAAATATCGACTCTCCAAGATTCCCTGCAGTCTGCGTCCTTATGATCCGCCGTGCTGGCGGTGGCGTAGCCTGATCCGGCCCTCCTCTCGACGAGGAAGCCATCTGTTTCCGTATCCGTGAACCTTATTTCCCTTAAAAATTAAAAAAAAAAATTAAAAATAAAAAATCAAGCTCATTGCTTCTCTAACTAGCAACCACACATCAAAAATCGAGAAAAATAATAATAATATTGCCAAAAGATAAACTAAAATGGAAATTTCCAAAAGATAAACTAAAATGGAAATTTCTTCATTTTTAACAAGAAAATTTAAGAACTAAAGCAAATCAATCTTAGTACCAGTAATGGTTATGGCACAACAATAAAGGAAGTACATTGCATTAACTGCAATCAAATACTGCATAAAAGGAAAGTAGAATGCGAAGGATTAGTTCAAGAGCTTAGTTTAGAACTTACAAAGAGAGAAAGAAACCCGAACAGAGAACCCAACCAGAGAGAGAGAGAGAGGCTGCGACTGTAAGCTACTTAGTAAAGAAGGAAAGCTAACATGGAAAGTAAGGGTAGTGAGTGTCCGAGACAGAAAATAGAAGGAGAGCCAGTGAGGTCAAGCAAAAAGGATAGTTTATTTGAAAAAATTCGACCTTTTTGCTGCTATTGGTCCGATCTAATTTTTGAGGTTTGAGTCATTCAATTGACCTTCGGTATTTGAATTATTACGGAAATGCGATTGGCTTCTTATTATGCTTGCAGCTCTTGTGGTATAGATTATATTACTAAATTGCCCCCCACGCCCACAGAGCCGCATCTTTGTTTCTTCTTCTTTTTCAGACACAAACTAGTATTTTATATATTATTAGTGGCACTACAATTTTATTTTATTTTTCTTCTATAGAGAAAAATAAAATTGAACTGCATTAAAGGTGTCTCATACAATATTTCCATTTTCTTTAAGGAATATGCAATTTTTCATTTAATAAAAATTAATTGAAAATAACAGTTACAATTAGTTTTCAAGAAAATAACAGTTACACTTTACACCAAATAAATAAAGAGAAATGATATTAATAAATAATATTTTAATAAATATTTAATTTTTTATGTCTCAATTTTTATTATAATATTAATATTTTTAATATTTGTATATAATTGATTTTGTTAGATAAATAATTTAAAATTTGCAATGTTCGGAATTTAATTTAACAAAATGTGGATAATATTTATAAATTGCCAATTATAATATTAAACTATTTTTAAAAAAATAATACAATAATTAAGATTTACAAAATAAAATATCTATCCGTAATTCTATTTATTTTTATAATTCTATTTAATTATAGAGTCAAAATAAATTTATGATTTTGATGGCTATTTTGATTTATTGAAAAAATTTTTTATTGAGCTAATTATTTATTTCGTCATTATTTTATCAAATGATTATTGTTTTTATTGTGTTGTGTGATTATTATGTCTTTGATTATTATGATTTTATATATTTAATTAATTAATTTCAATACATACTAGGTGGAGGCCAATTTAAAAAAATATGCTACATGTCATTTCTTGGAAAAACATGTAAGTGGAGCTTTTATAGAAAGATTATGACAATATATCAATTTCCTTGGGAAAAAAAATATTTACTTTATATATGTTGATTTAGAAAATTTTAATTTTAGTAGAATAAAACCACAGCTAAGACACATCAAATCAAATAATAGAAATAAACCAATATTTCAAAAGTATCGCAAACGGAAAAAAAAAAAATTGCATCACAAATAAAAAATAATTAAAAAAAAACTGATTTAGGAAATAAAGGATACCTTTATATTTTCATTAAGCAGTAAACGGGGAAAAAAAAAATAAACTTAGATGAGAGGCTTATAAGTTTAAGTGTTTGTAAATTACGCAGGATAAATTAATAATTTTATCATTTTACCATACTATACGATTAAATAGTAATTCATTCCTTAAAAAAAATTTTATATTTTATTTATTTTTTAACATTTCTTTTTTGAAAATGTAATTTATTAATAATAATATTAAGAATTATAAATAAGCATATAAACCAGACATAGGACTTTAATATTAGTATCTAATAGAGTTTGTTGATCTTTTAAAGAAATAAAAGAATTTATATTCTTTTGAATGAATATTAGTAGCTAATAATAGATTTCTGCTTTTAGCTTATCTTGACAAAAGATATAAATTTTTATAGCAGCAACTAGTCCGTTACTTAATTTGAATATTAAAATAATAATTTTTTTGGATATTCTATAACTAGATTGCTTTTTCTATAATTTGCAATATATGACGCACATAAATATATATCCGCCGTTATGCGTCAATAGCATCAAAGGAGGAACATATTGTACTACAAGGCTCCATTGATAGAAGATTTTTACTTGCAAATAAAGATCTAAAATCTCCAACCGAATAAAATCAAATATCATAGTTTTATTTAGTAATAAACCCTCACAAAGAAGGGGAAAAAACTCCAAATATGGAGACAAACAACAATAACAAAACATAATAAACCCTCACAAAGAAGGGGAAAAAAACTCCAAATATGGAGACAAACAACAATAACAAAATAAAAAAAAATAAATTTGTTATAGGAAAAACAGATCTGAGTTTATTAAAGCAAAAACAGATTAAAGCAAAAAAAGATGAAGCGAAAAAAGTATTAGAAAATAGGAGGTACTAAATCTAGGGTTAAAAAACTAAAGAACAAGAAGAAGAAAAGATATATATATATATATATTTAACAATTATTAGACTAGTCATTTATCATTATCGTGAATGAGACAATTCTTTTTCATTTGTAAAAAGATAAAGAGCAGTACTCTTTTAAAAATATTCCTTAATGAAATTAATATACAAATTTTATAAATTGAATAAGAGAGAATAAAATAGTGTTGGTGTAGTTGCAATTATTTTTCTTATTTGTTAGTAAACTTTTAATACTTGTTTCAGGGCTTATTAATAGTTATTATTTTTTACTCTTTGATTGGTTGTAGTGAATTTTTAATAAGAATCCATCATTCGATTCAATGAACTTAAAATTTATTAAAAATTATAAATTTAAAAAAATATAAAAAATTTGAACCAAACTACTAAATTATTGTTTATTAAAACCAAATCCCAACCGAAAATAAATTTCAATAATTTGTTAATAAAAAAAATAAAAATGAAATAATTGAAACAAATTAATTTTTTTACCTTTTCAGGTATCTGATTAGTTCGAAAATTGAAATTAAGCTAACCAAACATTATGTTAATCGTTTGATTTACTAATTTAATATGAAAATTTAATTCAGGTTTCAGTTAATTTTGATTGTTTCAGTTTATTGAACAAAAAAAAAAAAATTTGAAAATTCATATTAACTAACTAAACCACATTGATTTTATTTTGAAAAGTTAATTCGAAACTTAAATAGAATGAATATTATTATTTATGTTAATTTCTTAGGTAAAACCAAACTTACTAAACCCATATTTTTTTTTTTTTTTTTTTTTTTGAAAGGAAGGGAAAATATTCATTTAGTCAGAAATATTCATATATTAATTAAAGAGGCTTCTATATTTCTTGGGGAAGCTCATTGCAAAAAGACGAGTATATTGAATGAGCGACCCAAGCTAAAGAGTGGAGCTACTCTATTTCACTTGCCTTTAGTATCCATTTTAACAGTAATTTTATTTACTTCATAAACTCAAAAATGCTGATAATCAGCCGAATTTCATTTCAAAACCCCCATTGAGAAGTTCGAGTAGAATTACCTTGAAAAAAGCTATAACTACTTCCTTAGGCATCCAACCCTACCTGCACATGTGAGAAAGTGCCTCACTTTAATCCATAAGAGGACCTTCCGTTAAAACCCAACCACCTAGCCGATTCTAGCTTCATTAAACACCATTGAAAAAATCAGATAGGTCAGTAACAAAATCTTTTGCCACTCCCATATGAAACACACACGCTTAAAGCCCAACTTTATTTAATCCCTTAAAAACGTCGGGCATCTTACATTTGCACTTAAAAAACTAGCTGATGGAGGAGGACAGCCTAATTGCAAGAGTTAAAGGGACTAACAGCCATTGAAGGCCTTTTACCATTTTCACTAACACACTGAGCTCAGGGACCATTCCGTGAAGATAATGTAGAGCCGCAGGCAACCCCAACTGGCAAGGGTCAGAAATAAATTTCTGCCAAATTAAAACAGGTTCTTGTGGAAACATATTGAATAAAACAACCACAACATTTTCTTCTTACACCATATTTCATCCCCTAATTCTTGATCTTGACATTCAGCAACCAATACATAAAAGAGTCAAAACATCTGACACTCACCAATCTAAGCATTCCAATGAAAGCCAACACATTAGCACGCTCACAGACACCATAACAAAAAGATTGCTCGGGATGGTTTTGTCTATAATCATAATATTACACAACAGACCATTTAACATGAAGGGCCCCTCGATAAAACTAGGACCCTGGTTGGTAGGAATATCACAACCCACCACCCTCTTAAAGAAAAACTTTTTAACCTTGTAGAAGGAACTCCTTAGATTCCACAAGAACTTCTGAAAAGCGTTGCACCTATAACCTGTTAACAAAAGAAGTTGCATTTTTAAAGGCTTATGATAGGCCGATTTGACAGTGAAGGTCCCCACTCTACTCCAGATGTCAGACAATTGTTCATCATCACAGTTTTGATTACCTAGAGGAATTGAAGGAATCGACCAGCATACAACCAGGAGCAAAAAAGGTCACGCCACAAAAGCCCTCATCCCATTTTTTAGTAACAAGGTCAATCCAAACCAACACTTTTAAGCTCCTCCAAAAACCTTCGATAATATCTTGTTCTACAAAAAATTAGGACTCTACCACACCCCAAGGATCATCCCCAAACACAAAAGTCTAAACCCATTTCTAGCCCTCCACCGAATTCCAAGTTTTAGCACAGGTTGAAGAACAGAAAAAGGAACTCCTCGTGATATATAACTCGGAATTTTGGCCTAAAATCGGCGTTACAAAAAGATCCCCATTTGGGAGTATTTTCCTTTTGAGGATTCGTATAAAAAGAGAGTACTTTGGTTGGTTATTAGCCGCCAACCTTGCTTACCAATAAAGCTAATTGAAACTATTGAAAGTGTTCAAAAATCCATACCTCCATGAGTTTACTCAAACAAATTTATCCCAAGCTAACAATGAATTGTTTTGCCTTTCCATCTTCTTTGAATCACTAAAAAAGGAATTAACATCCTTTACAAGCTCCATATAAGTAAGTCACAGTAATTAAAAACACCACTCATGCAATAAGATGGTATTACTTTAAAGCCCACTGATTTAATAAGTAGGGGACTTCCTTATCCGCCTTGGTTAACGACTTTGCTTGTTCCACCCATTGGAGATGCTTCCATATTGGGGATCTCGAAATAGGCACCAAACACAGGTTTCTGTTTCTGCCAACTATAGACAGGGAGCGCCATAAGTAATGAACTTGGGCTAAGAGGTGTAATGAACATTTAACCAACACATCAGGAATATTAATTCTCCAAATAAATTACTAACGTTTAGGACTAAACATAATAAAACCTAAATTTCTAGTAGTTAATAGTT